ATTATGAAAGTTTGGGGAAGACCCAAATTGTATATTTTATTTTAGAACAGCCATCAATCTTATTAACATTTGATCAGATCAGGGGCGGAGCTACATGTATTTGTACTCGGGCTGGCTTCCAAAATTTTATTTAATTCATGCTCGGGTGGCTAGATTCTACAATTCTACAAGTTCAGCCCGGGTTATTTCAGCCTGAGCGACTTTAGCCCGGGAACATTTTGAATCCTAGCTCCGCCCCAGAATCAGATATATTTTTACTCTGTGTGTGTGTGGTGTGTGCCTATCTAACATGCTATTCTATAGAAACCAAAGTACATTGCATCTTACAATATTTATACATGGACAAAAATTTTAATATATTTAAAGTAAAGCAACAACTGTGTCCATGTATATAGTGCAATGTCTACTCAGAGCTGATTAATGCTGTTACGTGCTTTGGATAAAAATAAAATTAAAAAAAAAAAAAAATCTTTGAAATGTAAACCAATAGGCAAATCAAAAGATGAGATTTAAGTACTCCACTAACATTTTGTTTCAGTAGTTCAAAAACTTAAATAAAAAGATTAAAACAAAAGAAAATAGCTGAAAAAAGTTACACATGATTTACAATCAAAACAATCAAGTATAAGAACATTATCACTAACCTTACCAGCCTAGTTATTTATAAAATACGCTGAAATTTCCATGAAGTCGGATCTATAAAAGTGAAATAAAATAAAAAATTGGACACACCAAATTGATAACGGAGTTCGGCCAATAATGCCTACGTCTCCGGACTACTGCAGATATTTTATTAGGAGAAAAGAAAACACTCGTGTTTACAAAACACTCGCAAACTCACTCACAACTCACAACACAAATACACACAAAAGCTAAAAATTTTGCTTTGTGTTTCCTCTCTTTTTCTTTCTCTCTCTGTATTGTTGTTTCTTGTATTTGGTGTATTTTGTTAATCAGAATTCCCCTCTATTTATAGAGGGGAGATGCACCTTTTTTTCACAACATTGTGCTGCTCCATATTTTAAAAATATCAGCACGAGGGCTGCTGCTGCAATTGTTTTTTTTTT